TCCCAGAAGCTTCTTCAGTTCTGATTGGATGGAGGGGAAAGGGAAGAATTTATGTTCCTTGCAGACAGCTGGTCATTTGCATCCTTTTAGAGAGTTGTTGAGGCCACTTGGAGGTTTGTCTGTGTCCTAAGCATCGTCTGAGTAGTGCAAATGGGTGTGGAGCCTTCTTGGAACTGCTGAAAGGACAGTGTGTAGGAGACTGGATTATATACCCCTCCCACTCTGTCGAGAGAGGGCTGACCCTAACCCTAACCTAATTTTGACACAGATGGCCTCTTTGACCCCCTTTTTCAAACCAGACGTCCTCTATGTCCAAAATGTGGACTTTGCTATCTTCAAAAAGGGGGGCTTTTGTCTTTTAAATACAGATGGGCTGCTGAATCTTGTCCTGATGAATTTGTTCTCCTAGGTCGCGCCATCCATGGATGGAAACTAATCAAGGAGAGAACCAACCTAGAACTAACAGAAATTTCTGGACAGTGAGAACAATTAATTGGTGGAACAGAAGTTGCCTCCATAAGTTGTGGGTGCTTCAACCCTGGAGGCTTTTTTAAAAATAAAGTTTATTTGTTTTTACAATTATGAACCAACCAACAATACATACATACAACAATACAAATAAGCAAAGGAAAGGAAAGGGAAGAGGAGAAGAAGAAAAGGGAAGAATTTTGAAAGAAAGATAAAGAAAAAAAGAAAAAGAAAAAGGGAAAAAGAGAAAAAAGGGGGTACAAGGTTAAAATGCTTTCAACCCTGGAGGCTTTTAAGAAGAGACTGGGCACCCAGTTGTCTGAAAGGGTACCATAGGATCTCCTGCTTGAGCAGGAGGGTTGGACTAGATGACCTCCAAGGTCCCTTCCAACTCGGTTATTTCTATGAAAAACTACAGTGAAGGTAAAAGAGTCCAGCACTGAAAATAAAAGTCTTGGGCTTGTTAATAGAGCTGGAGAGAAAGACTCCGTTAAACTCCCGAGTCGTTATCTGAGATAGGTCACTACAGAGATGTTAACAATAAACAATGATAATGAATAAATGTGAAAGGTGTTAATACTTGGTCTTCTTTTGTTTTCACTGTTCAGCTGGAAGCAGAAGCCGTATTCCGGGCTATCACTATAGCTAGTCGGATCAACTGCCCTGTCTATATCACTAAAGTGATGAGTAAGAGTGCGGCTGATGTAATATCGTTGGCTAGGAAAAAAGGTACGGGGTTCAGCCCTTCTGGACGAATGCGTATGGGGGTGATGACCCAAAGGGGTGTGGCACGAAAGGAACACAGCCAGAGAGCAGGTCTAACTCCCCCCTTTATTGCTCCAACTTTGCCCGCAAGCGTCCCCACGTTTACTACAAATCCTGGAGTGAAGCTCTCACATGCACTTTCAACAGCCTCTGGTAGTCCAGTAAGCCAGGTTTAGCCAAATAGGAACCAGTAAGCCAGGTTTAGCCAA